GAGAGCCCGCGGGGGAACGGGCAGCGCCTCTCTGCTGCCCTGTGCTCTGGGGTGGCAGCTTCAGGGCAGCAGCGAGGGTAGGAAGCATGGGGCAATCTTTGGCTGTCTTCCTCTCCCCCACGCCCTCTTTGCCTTTTCACTCTCTCTTGTTTTGCTTGTTTGGGGGCTTGTGCTAACACTGCCTGTGCCAGGAGGGATCTGGGAGCAAGCCATCCCTCAGCCGCACAAATTGGCTCCCACCTGCTCACAGCCTTGAAGAAGTTTCCTCTCCATCCGAGGTGTTGTGAGAAGAAGAAAGCCAGGAGGTGGCTCAGAGCACAGCGGCCCGTGGCGCTGAGCCCTGGCATGTGAGGGGTGGGCAGGGGGACAGCAAGCTTTCCTCTTGCCTTCCCCAGAGATTTGGGATCACGCATAGACCATGAATGGATCCTTTTTCAACCAGACTCTCCTAGAGCAGGGAGCTTACCCCAACAGGACCCAGGGCTTGGGGATGCTCATGGCCTGCTGCAACGGGACCGGCTCAGTGCTGGCAACTGACGGCAGCTCCTCAGTCCTGGCACCTGATGAGAGGAGCCTTTACATCACGCGGGTGGTGCAGATCGCTGTCCTCTGTGTCCTCTCCTTGACTGTGATGTTCGGCATCTTCTTTTTGGGCTGCAACTTGCTCATCAAGTCGGAGAGCATGATTAACTTTCTGGTGAAGGACCGAAGCCCTTCCAAGGATGTGGGAGCTGCAATCATGGGACTTTATTGAAGCCACTGGGCTTTTGTAGGCAAGTGAACTGTCTGGACCTGGTGTTAAGATGCAGATTCCCATGTGTTTGGGGCAGCTGGGGGGGAGTGGAAAGGGGGTGTGTGTCTTTTAATATGTCTGTGTCCGTGGGAAAGCAAACCTGCGCTTCCCAGTCAACAAACTCTGTTGTGATGAATGGGGAAATCTCCCCAGAGTTGTATGAAGCACAATAAATGAGCAGCATTGTGTTGCATGCAGAAATGGCTCAAGTTTTGCATGAAACTTGCAGAAACAGTGATAATGTGCAGATCTGGACTCTTTTCT